ATCATTACATGGTTTCGCTGCAGAACTGCCTTGATGCTGCTACCAAGCCGATTGTCCCAAACCACTTCTTTCCAGTAACCCAGACCCCTGATTAATAAACCCCTTCCCCTTAATAGGGATTATGATAAGGATCCTAATATTTAGGTCCTTAGAAGGAGGGGGGTTGTTAATCCTGGGTCTACATTACTCTAATGGAGGGTTCGTGGGACTCAGTAGCTATTTGAAGGTTCAGGGTTTATGGGGCTTAGGGATTAAGAGGGTTTAGGGTTCATGCGCCTTAGTAACAACTAAACTGGGCTTATAGACCTACTTATAGTCCCCCGAACTGGACTTTGGTGGGTTCTTGGAATAGGGTTATAAGCCCAGTTAGAAGTTGTTAGTAAGTCCCATGAACCTGTAGGTAGAGATCAGGGTTTACCGGGGGGGCCGGTGAACGAGTGATGACACGTGGGGCTGAAGATAGGGCTTAGGGGTGTAGGGCTTACGTTGTTTATGGAGGTTTGTGGTTTAAGCCTTTCAGCTTATCTCAACTGAGACTAAGGTTCTTGTACCCACGCTGCAAAAGAGCCTCTAAATACTGCTTGAACCTCACACCCATTTGTTGCCCCCTGAACTCTAATTCCTTGAGCCTGTAAGCCCTTACCCTGAACCTTAAACCCTCAACCCTGAACCGTCGCCTTCAACCAAAACTCCAGACTCCCCAACTCATCATCGGGTCCTTCCTTTGGGGCTTGGGGGTCCCAAAATCCTATACAACCTTATTAAACCCTATTAAACCCCATTAAACCCTATCAAACCCTATCAAACCCTATTGAGCCCTACTAAACCCTGCTAAGTAAAACTGGCATTCCTCATCGAGATCTGCCACACTCAGCCAGGCCATGATATTGTCTAGCGGATCTCCATTTTTCCCCTGCAAGAGGGGGGGTTGAGGGCTACTTTTTTAGGTTATGCATGTATGTGTACTTATATGTACTTATATATATATATACACACACACCACATATATATATATATGTACATTTACATACATATACATACCATATATATATATATATGTACATATATATATATACATACAGACATATGTACATATACACACCATATACATATATATATATGTGTGTGTGTGTATATAGGGGTAAAAAGGATCTCGGACTTGGATACTGCAGAACGAAGAATTGGTGCTGAAGGTCGCTTTGAGGATTCTTGTGGGGGCTAAGACGGAGATGCATTCCTCCCATACCAACACCTGAACCCTAAACCCTAAACAGTCCCCTTAGTTGTATATATATATATGTATATATATATATATACATATCCTAAACCTTATATAGTCCCTGTGTAATTATATATACATATATATATATATTATCCCGTTTAAAGCGGCAAGCTCTAGAGCTTACCCCTGCATGTCTTACTGCCTCTTCCTTGCGGATCTCTGCCGCATGTTGGAGGCATGGGTTGCCGGATTCACCGTCAGCCGTGAAGGCCTAAACACACTATGTGGGGGTTTCGAAAAATTAGGGGTACCTTTTTGGGTTCCCTATCATAAGGATTAGGTAGTTTGGGGTCTATATTGGGGTCCCCCTGTTTCGGGAAACTAGTACAGCTGTAGCCGCGACGATGTCTATGATAAGGCCTAAACCCTGAACGGTCGATAATACCTGGTGCCTTACGAAAGACTGAGGAAATAGACTTCTAGGGCAAACCATATGCAACCCACAACTACACCTCTGTAGCGTTGAGGGCTTAGGGCTTAGAGCTCAGGATTCAGGATCTATAACCCATTCCCCATTCCCTCATAAGCACCAGAGAGTGTAGCTGCCTCATCCCTCACCACGGAGGAGGTCTCGGAATGCCTCGCAGCCCAGTACCAGCAAGAGGGGTAGCATTTGTTGTGAGGGTGCCGGGCTAGAAATTCGGGAGCTGCGGGGTGGGATGAAAACTCTGGAGCTTTCCAGTTGTAGGATTTTACATTCAGGAGTTGAGGAATTAGGAAGGGTTCTGGAGCTCGGGGCTTGGGGCCCCAGCATCTTGCGATGCGGACAGATTGACAAGAACTGCAGTGGAGACCACACCGCTGCGGGACTCATCTGGTATTGTGGATGGGGGAAACCTTCCAGCGCCCTATAGAACTTACTCTCTAAGAATTAAAATATAATATATTCTTGAAAATCTTAGGTGGTGCAGGATTTTCTCCACTCACCGAAGGGCATGGGCAAACATATGGCATGTCCCAGCTGCAGGGTTTAGAAGTATGAGAATAATATGCTGGGCCAAATAATCAGGACAAGGTTGTGGGACACATTATAGTTTAGCAGAAAAGGATTATAAAAAGAACAATACGGGGAATTTTCAAAGGGCGTCTACATGCCTCTCTCTCTCTCTCTCTGTCTCTCTGTCTCTCTCCCCTCCCTCTGGCTTTCGTTTTTTCTCTCTAGCTCTCTCTCTCTCCCTACAGTCACTGGCAATTTTCGCGTCACACATCTACAGCAACAGGTGTTCGTCTACATCAAGAGAGCCACACCTTGCCAACTTGCCCTGCAACAGTCGGCGACATCTTTTAATCTAAGTAGCAGATACAGGAGCTTCACACGCAAAAAGGTTTAGGGTTCAGGGTTTAAGGTTCAGGCTTTGGGGTTTTGGGTTTAGGGTTTGGGGGTTAGCGGCCCCAGGGGACCCAGGGATATATGGAGATTGTGATAGAATTTTGGTGGGTTCGCACAAGGGATGATGTTCCGAAACTCCAAGGTGACAGCTCAGAGAATGCTGTAGAATAGCCTGTCCTTCCCCACCTACGTACAGTCCCCCTTAAGTAGAGTTTGGGGATTAGGGGTTGGGGATTAGGGTTTCGGGTTTAGGGTTATAATCGCCCTTAAGTAGATAGAATATGGGGATCTTATTGCAATATACCTAAATACTCAAGGAGGACTATACCGTATACCCTAAAGACTAAACAGCAGCTTCCATTCTATTTTCCATTCTCCCAGTATAATCCCTATGTAACCCCTAGATTCTATCTACTCAAGGGGGAATATACCAAGACCCTGACCCCAAACTCCAGCATCTCTAAGTAGATAATGCGGAACCCTAAACCCTAAACCGCTAAAATTCGGACGCGACCCTCCGCGTGCCTGCGTGCCGTTGCATCCCAATCCTGCCAAGATGGTGCTGGGGCTGACAGTCACGGTTTAGAGGGTAAGGGCTTAAGGGGTTTAGGGGTTTAAGGG